GATGGGTATTGAGGAGGGCACCTTTTGGGATGAGCACTGGGTGTCGTATGGAAACAAATTTGACAATAAATTTCATATATTGAAAAAAAAAAGCCAATCAAGAGGCTCAACATTAAATCAGACACAGCTAAAAAGAGAATTAGTGAAATGGAAGTTATACATAAATGTTTGCATTGTGTGAGACTACAACACTGCAATTAAAATCAAGTTTGAGAATTTTTAAGTGTTGATCAAAGAGACTGAGGTGTTCTTAGCCAATTTAAACATAATGAAAACTGTTCTACTGGCGGTAAAAAAAAAAGGGGGGGGGGAATTCACAGAATTATTTTTGATAAGTAATTCCCTGACATAGTCATTCAAAGCACCTTTCAGTATGGGATAAGATAGGTGTTCGTCTATGCATGTAGCCCCACTCAGGAAAGATATGCCAAAAACTTCAAACAGGGGTCACCTCTGAAGAAGAAAACTGCAGTGCTGGGGGACAGGGAAAAATGGAGTAGCTTTTGTTCCCTGTGAATTCTGTTGCAGTTCTTGGATTATTTAGTTGCGTGTATTACCTATTCATGAAAGGGAATTTTCAAGTTTTCGGAAGATAAAAGACACAGGCTGCATGGCTTCTCAACAGGAAGACAGACGTAAGGAAAATTTTAAGACAAAAGCCTAAAATTGTTGGACAATACAATGGCTTGGACAATGCTCCTCAGAAATTTCCCTGAATACAGCAGGTACGGCGCTAGAGTAAATGGTTGTCATTTCCACATATTTATGTGGGTGGAAGATCTTGAAAACTGAGGGACATTGTAGCAAAGACAACAACTAGCACTGAATGTAATACATCAGCGGACCTCATGCAGACTTTCAGAAATCAATAGACAACATCATATTTTGGAGAAATGTGATGTTAACATGACTCTCAAAAATAAGTGTTTCATGCTTGCTCCTGGTCTTTTGGGCTGTGTTCCCAGGGATCCTGGGTCTCACTCCACTCCTCTGCTGCAGGGGTACTTTCCAGAGAAAGCTGGAGAAGCATAGACAAAGGGATTTTAACAGAGCATACAGAACGTATATTTCAATTTGACTTGTCAAGAGATGTCAGAGACTGAGCTTCTACTGGTCTATGGTTTCTTACCCCAAAAAACAGGAAAGAAGAAACTGTATGATAAATAGAACATTCTTCCATTCATTGAATTCAGTAGCCTATTACAAAAAAGAAAGAAAACTAATGGTTAGACTCATAATACTGCAGTTTAAATTTATGGATTTTACCAAATCATGTTTTATTACAGGAACCACTTTCCCAAACAAAATACAACTTAAAAAATCCTAGCCAATACCAGCTGTGGGATGTTGGGCATATCACTTTTACTCCCTAAATCTCAGATTCCTTTCACAAAACAGGGATTTTTTTTAAAAAACTTCCTCAAAAAGTCCATGTGAGGATTTAATGAAACTATTTAGAACCTGGCGGGAGCCAAGTATCCAGTATCACTATTGTTGCTGTGACTTTATTAATCTGTAATTAACTCTTTATTAGTCTGTAGTCACAAAATCAGGATTGGGTTTACTTTTTATAAATAATCTTAGAAGAAGGGTGCCCAGAGGGCTCAGTCAGTTGAGCATCCAACTTCGGCTCAGGTCATGATCTCACCAGTTTGTGAGTTCGAGCCCCACATTGGGCTCACGCTGTTAGCAAGAGCCCGCTTTGGATCCTCTGTCCCCTTCTCTCTGCCCCACCCCCACTCACGCTTGCTCGCTCTCTCTCAAAAATAAACATTAAAAATTTTTTTTGGTAATAAATAATCTTAGAAGAAAGCTTATTAGAAAATTAATAATAATGGCTAAGTCCATGAAATATTTTCAAGAATTTACAAATGCTTAGTAAGTATTATGAACAAATAAACTAAATTATTTGCTTTTTACAAAGCAAGGAAGTAATTGGGGTGGTGGAGTTAAGACAGAAGTTGGGTGCAGGAGTTTCAACTCTCAAGAACTTAGCTGAGAAGATGAAATTAACCCCCTTGAAATGACAGGTAACAATAAAAAGGAGCATTTTATTCATGATTTGTCCTTTGTCTACATCCAAAAATGATTTTAAAGAGACTCAAGACAATAAGCATGTGCTGCACATAAGCATGTGCTGAATAACACAGTTGAACATAAGCTCTATTCACTTCCTACTAGGCAAAACTTGGTTAATCAAGTTTTATAAGTTTACAGATTTAAAACTATTTAAATTCTTGTTAAGTTTAGAATTCAAAAATTTTAAGCCAATTAGAATGGAATTCTCCCCCAATTAATACAATCCTGCCACACTTGTTATTTTTTCATTAGTAAGACTCTGCCCACATCTCTTATCAAAAAGATACACGTTAAATATTGATGATAACTGTTGAAGCTGGTTGGTGGGTACGTGGGGTCTGTTATGCTATTTGTTCTCCTTCTGTATAGCTTTGAAAGTTTCCAGCATAAAATTATTTTTTTAATGCTTACTTGTGAAAGGAAAATATAAATATAAAGCTGTCTTACTGTCAAAGGGGCAGAAAACATCCAAGGTAGTCAAAGATCAAAACCAAACAAAAACTATAGAAAACACTCTGTATCTAAAGTTAAAATAAAACTGGAAATAAGAGAAAACCATATGCTCCAAACTCCAAGCCACAGATAGAAAAACATTTATTTGCTCAACAAACTGGAAGTATTTACTCAACAAGCTGAAAGTATTTCTGCAAACAGTAAATAAAAACTGTTCTGATACCATATAAACCACTGAGGGCTATGTAGTAATCTTCACAAAAATATCTGGATTCTTTGCCAATCTATATTTTAATAGATTTTAGTTTTATTTTGTTCCATTAATAATGATGAGGCTGTGCTGGTGGCATTTTAAAAAATAATGTAAAAAATAATGTAGTATGACATTTATTTTAAAACAAAATAATTAAAGGTGAAGAACGATGAAGTGCTGCTTCCTTTAGACTTGCTATTGCTGTGCTCGCTTCGGCAGCACATATACTAGACTTGCTATTTCTCTAGCAGTATGGTGGAGCATGCATCTTTTTTATTTTGCATTTATGTGTGTTTTTTATCAGAAAAATAAATCCTATTATTTACCCTATTCATCAAATGCAATATACCCCATGTACTTTGAGCCTGGTGCAGCAATTCAAATGACTAAAAAAAGGTCACCCAAACAGTATTATCCAGGGGCACAAATTGTTGACAAGAGGAGCTGGCATCATGGACTTGGACAATCAGAGACAGAGTCAAGGTGCTGTTACCAGGTTTGTTGACCGTGTAAGTCCAAGGTCCCAGAGTGAGTGAATCTCCATGCAGTAAGTCATACACATGAGTCTTAACCACAACCTCTGATCCTCTCCAGCCAACCAGGAAAAATGCTTCACCTAAGTACTTTTTCTATTAACAAGTTAACATTTTGCCCTAATTTATCAATTTCTGCTATAATCAAACCAAACTTGGCAAACAAAATGCAATTTTATAGGCTAACACATCTAATTATATAAGTTCTCTTCTTTATTACATTCGGTTCACAATCTAAAATGGATTCACACATGGTTAAAAGTAACCAATTGGAAGAAGCTTACGATTCAATGGAACGAACACACAGCAGAACAATCTTACTAGTGAAAAATACATTATTTTTTTCCACAGGGTTTTAAAAATCACTGATTATAGTGAGTGTCCCATATCTTCTGGATCTCCTATCATACAATACTTTTAAATTAAAATAGAGTCAAATTTTTAACTTCGTGATTTTGTATCTTATCATTTTTACAGAAGGCCCTTTTAACAGTTATAAACACATTCTATTTTTTTCCAATTATAAGTTTCTTACAGATTTTTAAATAAATCTATATATTTAGCTCTGCTCCATCTGGAATTTCTGTGGAGAGTAATCACAGCTGGGGCTCTAAAGTACCTAGACAAACTGTAGATTAGAAGCCTGGTCAAAAAAGAGACTAGATAGGGTACATATTGAGATAGTTCAGCACCAAAAACCAGGATAGGAACATAACATTCTCCTAGAACACCACTACTTAATAAGTTAAAGTATACGTTAGGCCTCTTGTACTTTCTAAGATATAAGTGATAGGTTATAGTTTTTCATGCATGAAGGCAAGAAACACTTTTCATGTACAATAAGGTAACTAAGATTACAGTGGAGAATGAGTTCCAGAGCAAGACTGCCTGGATCGATCACCTGCTGTCCTTGGATGGTATTTAAACACCGTGCTCTAGATTCCTCATCTACAAGATGAATAGCAAACAGTCCCTTCTCCTCAGAAGGCTGCTGTGGAAAGCAGTGAAATCGTTCATGTACAGTGCTTTAAACAATGTCTGATACAGTAAGTCCTCAATAAATATTAGCTGCTATTATTTTTATTATTACCTGAGAAAGTATAATAATTCTGCAGGGATAATCGTTACAAGGAAGAGAAACTTCTGAGAGCCCATGTTACAAGTTATAAAGCAATGGTTTGGGTGTGGGAACACATATTCCTATCAAAACAATGTTATCAATTATTAACATAATACATCTAGTCAATTTAACTCATAAGGTACCTAAACTTCAGTTTCTGGTCTGTTTCCTCTTCTGGACAGGAACTGTACAAATGAAAAGTATAGCTTTGAGAAAGAATATGAAACCCTGACATCCACCCAGGAGCCCACAAGAGCCTGCAGCCTTCTGGAAGTACTCAACCCCCTAAAAGGCGGGGGTTGGATGGGGGGAGATGGAATCAACTCAAACTGTTTGCACCACAGAAACATGCTGATTAGTAAACACAGAAATAACAGTCATGTGGCAGGTGATGGGTTACTGCACAAGGCCTCTCTGAACACCCCCCCTCACCCCCACCCCTGTCGGTCCAGCAACAAAAGGGTTGCTGAGGGTTGGTTCTGTGGGTGGAGGCCAGACTGGACCATAATTCTGCCTAGCAAATCTTCTCATGTGAACTTAAACATCTCCCTTAAGATACAGGCAAAATTCTTAGAAGAGGTGTAGCTGGCAACTTTCTGAAAAAGTAGGGCTTGGCAGGGGCTGACACACCTCAAGGTGGCTACTGGGGATGCTACTGGGTGAACATCACCCTTCCTGAATGACTGGTCTTCACTCCCTCCAGCTGGGCCCCCTCTGTTTCTACTCATCTACCATCTGATTTGTCTCTCATGTATGTGCAGCAGACAGGTGAGCAGGGCAGATACCAAAAGAACAACACGTCCTCAAAATTCAAATGTACATCCTGGAATATTTAGAGACAAAATCCCATGATATCTGGAATTTGCTTTAAAATATTCCAGAGGGGGGAAAAAATGAAAGCAGATGGGGACAGATGAAATAAGAACGACAAAACGCCGAACAGTATTGACCCTGGGCGGTGGGTACAGGAGCGTTCATTTAATTATTCTCTGTACTTTGCATATGTTTCAAAATGTGCATTATAAAGGTAATAGATAAATAAATCCATTTTTAAAACTATCAAAATCCCCTTCTAAGTTAGTTTTCCTAGGATCCCCACATCAGCAAACGGGGATACGAAAACTCAAACTCAGATTTTTACTGTTGTAGTTTTCCAAAATCTTCAAGTCCAGAATTCTTGTGACTACTTCTGCTGCTTCCCAGGTGTCTAAAGATAAACACCAAAGGAAGGATAGTGTCAGAGGCATTACTGGTGATGTCACACATCTCGATTCCATGTACCCTCCTGGTAATCCGACTTACCTTTACGCTTTACACTGCAGTACAAAAAGTTAACTATTAAGACTCTCAGAGGCTGCTCAGCAGGAATGTAATGACTGTCACCAGCTCACCTGCTGAAGGTCTCCAGTAGAGACACTGATGATAAGAGTTGGTATAATCATGAAGCAGGCATTGTAAAAAAGCACTCCATATTTGCCTAACTCCTACAAAAACAAAGAAACACTGAATTTTAGAAACACAAAGCATCAAATTTCGAAGGCATTTATATAACTATGTATTTATGCAGAGTTAAAAATCTATTCTGACCAACTCTGTATTGGAATATTTTCAGTAAATTCCTAATGTAAAATGCTTCACCTCAAGCATATCATGATAGCAAAACAAACATTTGTTTTAAACAAAAATGGCAGATAAAATGGATGAATATGGATGGACTCTGAGGCCCACCCATCTCTCACATTCTAATTGTTTTTTTTTTTTAATCATTTTGTCTGCAAAATGAGAGATCTGGAACAAAATTAAGAACATTTAAAATGTTAATATAAACAGAACTCCTTAAAAACATCTGCTCTTTCTGGTAAGGAACAGCAGTGTTAAAATACAAGGTATCTCATTTTCTAATCTTGCATAAATTTACTTTTCATTAAAGTGGCTTCACTACTTCTCCACCATTTTTCATAAAGGGTGACATACTGTGACCCTCAAAAGGCAAAAAACCTGTTTTTGTAAAACTGCCACCAGTAAAAAAACAAAGGGCCCTGCAGAAAAAAACAGTGCAGATAAAAAGCAGCTCACAGAAATGAGTCTATCCGTCAAAGCAAACTCCCTCACTCAACACAAAGAACTTGGAACAAAGCAACATATGCCTGGCTCATCCTCCAGAGCTTCCGGAACAGCTGGGGTGGGGTAAGCGCTGTCCCCCCACCCCCACAGACGTGGAGGCGGCCACATGCAAGAAACGCCCATCTGCCCACCAGTCTCTGGGGAGACCGCTCAGTTACTGACCAGGAGAGGCAGTTCCTGCTGGGCAAGACCTTACAAATGATCCATTCCACAGATGATGAAACTGAGGTTTGGAGAAGTTTAAGGGTCCAAGTCACAACAACCAGTAAGCAGCATAACTTTTATATGTAACCCATACCTTCAGACTCTCAAACTGGAGTGGCTCTCAGAATACCCCTGACTTTGCCTTGGTCACTGATGAGGATAGCAAAAAACACCTTTTAATTTTAATCTGCCTCTCAAAATAATCTCTTTATATATTCTGACTTTGCATCTAAAATAGTGTCTTATTTTCAACCAAAACTTTGTAAGGTAAGGGATAACAAGAACCCATACAAACAAGATAACTGAAAAGAAATTAGTGACTTATAAAGCATATCATGTAAATTAAATTATGTGCCAACTTTACAAATCCATTTCGTTTTTTCATGTAATTTCAGGGGCCAGAGGACAAAGCCTAAAAATCAAAGGAGTGAAGATCTGGTACCTTTGGGTCCATTTTCTGTTTGGTATAAACTCCATTTGCTGCTGTGAAGATATCATTCAGGAATACAAAAATATAGCCTTCCAAGTTAAAGGCAAGGTCAGAACTGGGAGGGAGAACACAAAAGGATGATTATTCAGAAACTCACAACTTGGCCTTCAAGCCTGCCTGTTTTATCTTGCCCTAATCAAATCCACTTGTGATGCTAGTAACCACTTTCTTTTCCTCTGGCATATTTCCCCCCTCTGTGGTTAATTCCTCTGCTTTGCCTCCAGACAAAACAAAACCAGGCCATCAGGTGGCTTCAATTTAATCATGAATGACTTAAAACCAGAGCAACATTAACCACCTTCCTTTAACTGCAAAGCCCTTTCTTTCGCCAACTGATCAAATGGCGTAATAATCGGTGAGCTCTGCTTTTCTGAGGGGAATGATTTGTCCAACCCACCCAGTGGCTTTGCTTATTGTAATAAACAGGGCCATCTCCAGGGGAGATGCCCTGTGGGGACAGCTGGGCAGTGACTGGGGCAAGAGAGGTCGAAAGAGGAACTGACACCTCCATCTGGTGTCCCTCCGATCACATCATCCACCAGCATGCCCCCACCCTGTTTGTCAAAAAGGCAAGGCATCGATCCATTCTTTCTCTGCAATTCCTCTAAGGCTACCTTCTCCTCATTCTTTTGAACATCTTCTTTTCTACTTCCATTTTATATAAATAATACTGGTATAAAAATGTTCGGGGGCACACGGCACAGGGAGAGAAAGAACAGCTGAGTCATGATATGAGTCACCTACTACACTTGATCCTACAGACAGTACCAGACCCATGTCATAATTCATAAATACATATCATCAAGGAGGTTTCCTCTACCCTCTTAGGTTCAGTGACTGGAGCCTGCAAATTTAACTGACAGTAGCTTAACAAGAAAAAAGGAATACAACTTTTATAAAACATTTCACATGTATAGGAGTTCACAAAAAAGAAATGAATCTCAAACAAGTGGTTAGACTCTGGGGCTTATATATCATTTTAACAAAAAAAGACATTTGGATTCCAAGGAACAAATAAATTATGGAGAAAGGACTAGGAAATGCATGGGGGAAACCAATGGAAGATAAGCGTTACTGTAGTAAGGTTTATCTACACAGACTCATCTCGGTGCAGGTCCTCTGTCTCCAGTGAGAACTGCCCTCCTACTCCTGGTGCAGGAGAAGGGGGGCACATTCACAAAGGGAAATTTATGGTCTGCTTTTAGGCAGGAAAGGGGAAGATCGAGAACTCTTCCTACATCTGTTGGTTCTCAATTGCCTTCAGCTCAAAATAATGTTTGTGCCCAAGTGGCATATTTTAGAATGGCATATCCTGATCTCCTGCAACATAAAAATTTGTTTTAAAGAAAGATCATTTCTAACCAAAGAAAAAGAAATAGGCAAAAGTTGTGCCAAAATCTGAATGCAAACTAAACCAGATTTGCTTGAGGCTTCTGCTGGCATTATTAACTACAAATATATTTGTGAGAATGTAAATTAACTTTAGATCATTATAAATCAGAATTCTCTGGCTCAATCACACAAAAAATAAAATCTCTTATAATAAGGGTCTTCCAAATCTCATGCCTATCCACATTTGGCTCCATGTTAAGAAGCGTCTGCTGTTCCACAAAATGGCAAAGAATCCAATGGATAAAAGAGCCAGGTTTCTAGGGGAGTGGAAAGGTGTTGCTCACTTCCTAGGAGAGCCCGAGGGAAATTCCCAGAGTTCTCAGATCTGCTCCGGGGGCCTCAAGTTTCCTAGCACCACTTGTTTAGGCCACTGGTAAAAGCACAGAAATTTGAAAAGAATTCATTTGCTTTAATAAATGAGAGCAAATTCATGGTTAACCCTTTAGTTGTCATTTACGGCTGTTTACAGACATGATATTTTAACTTTATCTGGCCGTGTAACTTGCTTCAGCAAACAAAATGTAAGAGGAAGTAATGCATGGCATTTCCAGGAAAAAGCTTGAAGAGCTGGGGCACGATTCCCCACATGCCCTTTTCCCTCCCTTTGAGGCAGGGGTTCCATCAGCTTGGGTCCCTGAGTAGCTACAATGAGCTGAGCACCTGCAGAGCGTTAACTAATGTTGGTCTGAGTAAGTAGTGTGAGCAGAATATATTTGGTATGTTAATGTGGGAGCTGTTTGTTACAGCAGCATAAACTGGCTCATCTGAGTAAATCAGCTCTACAGTTATTTGCATTTAGACGAGGTGATTTGAATGAGCAGAGAGAAGGTTGGGGGTCACAGCCAGCCTGCAGCTAAGAACTGTGCTTGTCACCCACCTAGATAGTATCCATTCTGTGGGTGCTGAGGATGGGAAAGGTTGAGAAGTACTGTTCCAAGCTGGCTCTTGGGGGAAAGTTAGATGTTTTGGGAACACTACCCTTTGAGCTCATTAGAATATCACATGTGCTAATTATGAGCTGAATTTCTATTCACTGGGTCTGGAAATACGCCTCCGTATACACAGCATCTGAAGCACCATTCCTCACGAAAGCCTTACAGACATTTTTATAAACCATTTTTGTAAAAGTATACAATTGACTCTGAGTAGTTTCCAAATCAAGCTCTAAGAAACTTACAAAAAAGAGGCTGCCCAGGGGACACCTCAAAGCGCTGTGGGAGGAGGCCACTTTCAACAGAGCACCTCCCTCTTTTAGCTACTTTGCTCCTATGATTATCTTGGAACAAAATCTTCACGACTACAACAGGCTCTAAGTGCTGCTGTTTAAAGTCCACATACCAGAGACCTAAAACAGTGCTGAAAGTAGAGGCCAGCTTGCAGAGGGGCTGAACTCAGCCACAGATAGGACTGGGGACAGGGATGTTACAGATGAAAATGTAAATAATAAACTTTGGTTAGGCAAGGGACTAACCACATTTATAATAATAAAAAAACAAAACAAATAAATTGCTCATATCTGTCACCATCTGGCGTGATGTATTTTCTAATCTGTTTCTTTTACTTATTGTCTGTCTCCACCAACTAGAATGGAAGCTCCGTGCAGGCAAGGTTTCTTGTCTGTTTTGTTAACAGCTGGACTCCCCAGCACCTAGAATGATGCCTGGTGTATAGTACACACTCAACATGTATTTGGTGAACTTGGCCACATGCTAGAGTAAACCCCAGTTTTCTATCTCATTTCATTCTCACAAAGACACTAGTAGGTGGGTCTGTTCTAACCTCCATTGCATAGTCGAAATAACTGGGGTGCGGGCAGGCTAAATCACTTGTCCTGGTTGTACAGCTAGTAAGCAAGGAGACTAGAATAAGAGAATATCCATGCCCTTATTTAATTTGCAATCAATGATCCAGAACTCTTCTTTCTCAATCAGTTAAGGAAACTAATTTAACTGAAATTCATCCACTCTGCATTCTTCCCTTCACTCAGGTAGGGTTTTTTTTTTTTTTTTTCCTATTCTTTACTGTACACATGAGTAAAACTGAGGCACAGAGAGGCTGAGAAACGGCTGACAAGGGGCTGGGCTAAGTTTTGGACCCAGGGAATATAACTGTACATATGCTTTAAGCACCAGGCTATAAAAGCCAGGAGTCTAGGGCGCCTGGGTGGCTCAGTCAGTTAAGCATCTGTCTTCGGCTCAGGTCATGATCTCACAGTGAGTTCGAGCCCTGCATCGGGCTTCATGCTGACAGCTCAGAGCCTGCAGCCTGCTTCAGATTCTGTGTCCCCCTTTCTCTCAGCCCCTCCCCTGCTTGCACTCTGTCTCTCTCTGTCTCTCAAAAATAAATAAACATTAAAAAAAAATCTATTTAAAAGCCAGGAGTCTGAGCGTCTGCTTTCAAATGCAAACTTGGAGTCCGAATTCCTGGTCTTACATATTAACAAATATGATACTATAATTGACCCTGAACAACACAGGTTTGAACTGTGCTGGTCCATTTATCCATGCATTTTTTTTTTCAATAAATACAGTACAATATTGTATTTGTATTTTGTATTTGTATTTGTAAATGTAAATGTATTTTCTCTTCCTTATGATTTTCTTAACATTTTTCTTTAGTTTGCTTTACTTTAGGAATACGGTATATGAAACATATAACATACAAAATATGTGTTAATTGGCTATGTTATCAGTAAGACTTCCAGTCAACAATAGGCTATTAGTAGTGAAGTTTTTAGGGAGTTGAAAGTTATACTTGGATTTTCCACGGAGGGAGGGGGAGTGGGAGGGAGTGCAGTTGGCACCCTTAATCCCCGTGTTGTTCAAGGGTCAACTTAGTCATGCACTGGTATTGGCTCCTGTCCCAGATATACAAATACATTTAATTAGAGTACCCCACCTGGGAAACAGACTGCTAAGGCATCACAGGTGATAAAACAAATCAGCATACAAGGGCTTTATAAAGCTGTTATTCTTGACCAAATGCCCAAGAACTTTTCAAGTAAATTTTTTGTACTGAAGACAAACATTCAGTAATAAAAGCAAGTAGTTTACTCCTTTTTATGAAAAAAAGCTATATTCATATCTTCTAATGTTCCCTTTATACATTCTCAGAAATGTTCCGGCCAAGTTAGAACCCAGTCTGACTTTCACAGGAACACATGGGGAACCCACTAACATCAACAGACTTGTCTCCTGGCTGCTCAATTCAACTGCAGCCAGATGGAAAATGGAAAATGAGGGCGGGGTGGGGCCTATTGTCAAAGGCACAAAGAAGTTACTGAACAGAAGCAGTCCAGAGTCTTACCCAGCTGCTATGAAAGCACCAAGTATGATGGTAAAAACACTGACGATGATGTTCAAGGAATAGTGTTTCCTGGGATAAATAGATGGAAAGATGATAGAGAAGGAAAGAAAAAGGAAAAAATATAGATTATAATTCTTAAACTGAAAATACACATTGCCCACAGTTTTATAGCTAAAATCTAACGGACATCGCTTTACAGAGAGAAAGCACTGTAAGTATCTGTAAGAGGATTAATAAATCAGACCAAATGTCTTTTTTAAACAGTTGTTTAATTTAATTATAAGTGTATTTCTCTGTTCTCATTAGAAAGATGCTGTGACAGAATGCACAAGGGCCCCTGCCGACAGTTCTAGATGGTCTTATGTCAAGCATCCAAAGACTAAGATAAAATTCAACATAGGACTTAGAACATTGGGCCATCATCCAAATTCCATTGCTAAATAATCTTCCTAAGCAAAATCAGGAACCATCTTTTCTGATACTGGCCTGAGTATCTTTATGAGAAATTTTTAAACTAACATTATAAAAATTAATTTATTCCTATGTTCTCTTGTAATCACTACATCAGAATGGATTTTCATGACTTCCTGCATTCCTATTCTATATGTACACATGGAGAATTTTTCCTCTGTATTCCTGTCAGGGTATATTCCAGCTGGCTCAGGAAACATACTTACATCTGTTTGGGGATTGTTGGGGTTTTTTTTTTAATAATTTTCTATTATAAACACATATTATTAGTCTACTATAAAATCACAAGCAAAAAAATCACTCATGTTCTTATGGAATCATGGAAACAGGAGACTGCTTTTAAATGAATAAACCATTTGTCCTTAAGTTATTGCTACTAGCAATTCAAATTGACTATTTGGAAAAACAATTAGATATTGAGAACTTGCTAAGCAAAAATAATATGGGATGAGGGGAAAGGACATGAGAGGAACAGAGGAAACACAAAAATCACCCAAGTATGATGGTTTCCAGGAGTAAAGTAAGTGGAATGGTAAATTTCCTGAGCACGGTGAACATCGGCAAACTGTTGGGAAAAGATTCAAGTATAGTAACATCAGACACCAAGTATTTTTTTCACATGCTTTACATTTTTAATTAAGCCCACTAACTTTCCAAATTAAATATAAGAAATTAACCTTAATTCTCACATATAACACCAATAAATCACATTAAATAATAGAAATGGAGATTTAGTAGCTTCATGCCACTTTTGCTTATTAGCAATTTTTTTCACTTGCTAGCAATTTTTAAAAATCATGTTATCCAACTACTGCAAACATTGTGCTAAAACTACAAAGACTATGCTAAAATACCGTATGCAGTATACACCAACACACCCTTTGGCAAATTAAGTTGGAATTATGTATCAACAGTCATTAAGTGCTAACCTTGGACCTAATGATTTCTTTTTGGGAAATTCAGCCCAAGGTAATAATACAAAAGAAAGAAAAAAACCAGGTGCGCAAATGTGTTCATTACAACAGTGTCTTTGGAGAAAACATCAGAAACAACCTAAAAGTCATACAATAAGGGGCGCCTGGGTGGCTCAGTAAGTTAAGCATCTGACTTCGGCTCAGGTCATGATATTGCGTTTGTGGGTTTGAGCCCTGCAGCAGCAGGCTCTGTGCTGACAGCTCAGAGCCTGGAGCCTGCTTTGGATTCTGTGTCTCCCTTTCTCTCTGCCCCTCCCCTGCTCACTCTCTGTCTCTCTCTGTCTCTTAAAATATAAAATAAAACGTTAAAAAAAAGTCACACAATAAGACAGTGATAAAATATATGATTAATCTATTTGAGAGAACACTACACATTAACTCTAGAATGTAAAACTTTATACCACTATTGTAAAATAAATATTAAATAAAACAAGGAGAATACATAACTATATAGAAGCTACAACTGTAACATGATACATTGTACATATGGGGAAACACTGAAATCAATATTTAAAGTAGTATGTTAGAAGATAAAGAGTTGAGTTATTTTTTCCTCAAAACTTTATGTAATGAGGCTATATTCATTGCCTTTTAAAAATACTTAAGAACTTTCAGTGGGGCCTCAAAACTCAGAGATTCCAAAACACAGCTCAATACACACCCAAAAAAACTGACTAAGCTGGAACAGCCAACCTCCACCTGCTTCCAGATGTCACCCTGAGAAGATGGTGACCTGGAGAAAGAAAGTCACAACCACAGCCAGGACAGCAGTGACCATCTCCTCCGGACCAGACCTGTGGAGGGGTTCCATGTGATCAATGATGCCACAACCAGAGAACAAGTACAGAAAGAATTTTCAGGAACTTTATACCCACACTTAAAGATATCTTATTAGGGGTGCCTGGGTGGCTCAGTTGGTTAAGCGGCCGACTTCGGCTCAGGTCATGATTTCGTGGTCCGTGAGTTTGAGCCCTGTGTCGGGCTCTGTGCTGACAGCTCAGAGCCTGGAGCCTGTTTCAGATTCTGTGTCTCCCTCTCTCTGACCCTCCCCCATTCATGCTCTGTCTCTCTCTGTCTCAAAAATAAATAAACATTAAAAAAAAAAAAAAGATCTCTTATGAGACGGATTAGAACTACCTTTTTCAAAGCACCCAAAAAGTCAATTAATTCCAAAAAGTATTTTTAATGATGCCTTTTAAAAGCAAGTAAGTTATACTTAATGATGAAAAGCTGACTGTTTCCCCTTAAGATCAGTAATAAGACCAGAATGTTTGCTCTCAACACTACATCAATTCAACATATACTTGGGATTCTAGAAGAGGCAATTAAACTGAAAAAAAAAAAAAAAAAGATACTGTTTAGAAAGCAAGAAATAAAGTTATCCCTATTTGCAAATGACACGTAAAGAAAATCCTAAGGAATCCACTAAAGAGTCATCATAATGAATAGTTAAGCAAGAGTGCAGGAAAAAAACTGCATATACAAAAATCAATTACATTTCTATATATATTGCAATGAGCAATCCAAAAAGGAAATTAAAACAATTCCATTAATGATAGCATCAAAAGAACAAAATTCTTAGGAATAAATTTAAGAAAATAAGTGTAAGACTTGTACACTAAAAACTACAAAATATTGTTAGAGGATTAAAGAAGCGTTAAGTGGAAAGATACTCCATGTTTCTGGATCAATAGGCTTAAAATTGTTAAAGTATTGGAAATACTCCCAAATAGATCTATAGTTTCAACACAATCCTATCAAAATCTCAGTTGGCTTTTTTTCCCCCCAGAAATTAACAAGCTGATGTTAAAACTGATATGGTGAGGCACCTGGCTGGCTCAGACAGTACAGCATGAGACTCTTGATCTCAGGGTCATGAGTTCAAGCCCCATACTGGGTATGGAGCCTACTTAAAATAAAGATTGGGGCACCTGAGTGGCTCACTCGGTTGAGTATCTGACTCTTGTTTTCAGTTCAGGTCATGATCCCAGGGTCGTGGGATTGAGCCCCACATTGGGCTCTGAGCTGAGCATGGAGCCTACTTAAGATTCTCTCCCTGTCCCTGTCCCTGTCCCTCTCCCTCTCCCTCTCTCTCTCTCTCCCCCACCCACCCCATGCCCCTTTCCCCAGCTTGCACTTTTTCTCTATCTAAAATTTAAAAAATCTATAAAAAATAAAGATTAAAAAATCAAAATATGGTCATGCAAGAAAGCTAAAACAAGAAAGCTAAACCAGAAAGCTAGAACAATCTTGAAAAAGAATAAAGTTGGCAGACCCAATGTCAAAACTTATTACAAAGGTACAGTAATTAGCACTATCTAGTTATTGATTATAGACATGTAATCAAAGGAATAGGATTAAGAATCTAGAAATAAATCCATACAATTATGGTCAACTCATTTTCAACAAGGGTTCCAAGACAATACAATGGGGAAAGAAAAGTCTTTTCAACAAATGGTGCTGGGACAACTGAATATGCATCCACATGCAAAAGAATGAATTTGAACCCCTTTCTCACACCACATACAAGAATTTATCACATATCAAAGACCTAAATATGGGAGCTAAAATTATTAAAATTTTGAAGAAAGCATAGGGATAAATCTTCATGACCTTGGATTAGGCAGTCTTCTTAGATATAATACCAAAAGTACAAGCAGCAAAAGATAGACTTGATAAATTAGACTTCATCAAAATTTTCAACTTTTATAAATGGATAATCAGAAGGTGATATATTCAAACAATTGAATATTATTTAGCCTTAAAAAAGTAATAGGGGTGCTTGCCTGGCACAGTTGGCAGAGCATGTGACTCATGATTTTGGGGTTGTGAGTTCAAGCCCCAGGGTGGATGTAGAGATTACTTTAAAAATAAAATCTTTTAAAAAGAGAATAAAATTCTTATACATGCTACAACAGGAGTGAACCTTGAAAACATTATACTAACTGAAATAAGCCGTAACTTAAAAAAAAAAAACCAGATTGTATCATTTCACTTGTATGAAATATCTGGAGTAGGCAAGTTAATTGAGACAGAATGTAATATAAAGGTTATCTGTGGTAAGGCATAGAAAGAGTCTGTGTTTTTTTTTTTTTTTTTAATTTTTTTTTTCAACGTTTATTTATTTTTGGGACAGAGAGAGACAGAGCATGAAGCGGGGAGGAGACGGAGAGGGGAGACATGGGAATGAATGAATTCCAGGCTCTGAGCCATCAGCTCCAGAGAACCTGGCTCGACTCCGCGGACTGACCGAACCTGGCTGACCCCAATCGTGGACCATGAACCGGACCTTCTGACGCACCCAGGCCTACCTAGAAGCAGTTATTTTTATGGGTCAGAGTTTAAATAGATGATGTTAAAGCTCAAGGAATAGATACTGAAGATGGTTGCTCAACATGTGAATATACTGAATGCCAATGAACCATATACTTAAAAATGGTTAAAATGGTTAAAATGGTAACCATTTGCGTGCTCAAGTTGCATGAGTCGGTTCATGCGTCCGACTCAAACAATGAGTCCTCGCGGATCTCATGAAGTCCTTGATTGACCCCCTGCTGGTGAAGACTCTGCCCTGATCATGGAGCCTGGAGCCTGCTTCGAGTCCGGTTCTCCCCTCTCCTCTGCCCCCTCCCCGTCCATCTACCTGTCTCTCCTCTGTCCCAAAAAATAAATAAACGTTGGAAAAAAAAAATTAAAAAAAAATAAATAAATAAAATGGTAACCATTTTATGTTACATATATTTTACCTTAATTGTTAATTTTATGTTACATATATTTTACCTTAATTGTTAATTAAATTTTTAAAAACCTAAAACTTTTGTGTTTCAAAGTATACCATTAAGAGAGTAAAAAGACAACCTACAAAATAAGAGAAAACTTTGCAATCTTGTGTGTTAAGTGTTAAGGGACTTGTATATAAAGTACATAAAGAGGACTTACAGCTTAATAATAAAAAGATGAATAACCATATTAAAAATACGCAGAAGATCTGAATAGATATTTCTCTAAAATATATCTATATCTATATAGATAGATGGCCAATAAGCACATGAAAAGATGCTCAATACCATTAGTCATCAGAGAAATGGAATCAAAACCATGAGATACTACTTCACAACTACTAGAACAGCCATAATCAGAACAACAGACAATAACAAATTTGGCAAGAATGTAGACAAGTTGCAGCCCTCTTACATGGCTGGTGGACTGTAAACTGGTATAGCTACTTTGAGAAATAGTTTGACGTTCCACAAAATGTTAAACAGAGAACTGCCATATGACCAGCAATCCTACTCCTAGGCATAAATCCAATCAATGGCAATCCCATTCTTCAATGAAGTCATCCTTGTCTCCTTTCTTTCTCCCACACATGTTATTTATCAGGAAATTGTGTTGGCTGGTCCTTCACAATATATCCAGAACCTAGATTGTGGCCTGAACATAACCTTTACCATTAAAAACAACCAGGGGAGGGGTGCCTGGGTGGCTCAGATAGTTCAGCGTCCAACTTTTGATTTTTGCTCAGGTCATAATCCCAGGGTCATGGGATGGAGCCCTACATCAGGCCTGCTTAAGATTCTCTCTCTCTCCCCTGCCCCTCTCCCCTGCTCATGTGCTCTCTCTCTCTCCCTCCAAAATAATAAAATAAAATAAAATACAATAAAATACAATACAATACAATACAATACAATACAATACAATAAAATAAAATAAAATAAAATAAAAATAAACAAGGGATCCTTGGAGAATGGCAGGAAAAGTTCAAGATAAGCCTGGGACATCATGTGCCAGAAAGCAAGGAACTAACCAGAGCACTGGGGCCCTAGAACATAAAAACCAACTCATAGGGGCTCCCATTGGCCTGAGATGGGATAATGTGAGCATCAAAAGAATTATGTATATAATTAACTAAAAATATCAAGTAAATGAAATAGATCAATAGAATATACTAGAGCACCCAGAAATATACCCACACAAATACAGTCAACTGACCTTTGACAAAGGAGCAACCATAATTTAATGGAGAATGGATGGTCTTTTCAACAAATCATGCTAAAACAACTAGACATCTACATGCAAAAAATGGAATCTAGACAGACCCTACACCTTTCACAAATAAACTCAAAATAGACCATATGCTTAAATGTAAAATGCAACCTATCAAACTCCTGGAAAATAGCACAGGACAAAATGTAGGTGATGGGGTACAGCAATGAGTTGGGTTTTTTTTATCTTTAAAGACATTTTTTAATGTTTTATTTTATTTTTTGAGAGTGGGGGGAGAGAGGGAGAGTGGGGGAGGAACAGAGACAGAGGGAGACAGAATCCCAAGGAGGCTCCAGACTGCAAGCTGTCAGCACAAAGCCCAACACGGGGCTCTAACCCACGCACCATGAGATCATGACCTGAGCCAAAGTTGGACACTTAACCAACTCAGCCACCAGGCACCCCTAAGATTTTATTAAGTAATCTCTACACCCAACATGGGATTCAAACTTACAACCCCAAGATCAAAAGTCATATGCTCCACCAACTGAGCCAGCCAGACACCCCTCAACAATGAGTTTTTAAATACAACACCAAAAGCATGAACCATGAGAGAAAAAAATGATATGGAACTTCATTAAAATTTAAAACTTCTCTGAAAGACAACACTAAGAGAACAAAAAGACAAAACTACAGACTGAAAGAAAATACTTGCAAAACACAGATCTGACAAAAGACTTCTATCAAGTAAATGGAAATTCATGAGTTTATAATGATTATAGTAAAAAAAAACAAGCAAAAACTCTCACTGGTCACCACTGAAGGTGACAGGACACTAATTTATTATACTGAACATGTATAAATAAAGCTTACATCCTGCCTTTCTTGTGTGAAATGGTGAAAGTTTGTATTTATTAAAGAAGTTTGCATAATACATGAAGACAGTGTGATCTGCAACTTGTAATGAAATAATGGATCTAGAAAGTCATCATCAATGAATCTAAAACCATTAGGTGAAAGACTGATGGGAGTGCCTGGGTGGCTCAGTCAGTTAGGCATCTGACTTCAGCTCAGGTCATGATCTCACGGTTTATGAATTTGAGCCCCATGTCGGGCTCTGTGCTGACAGTCAGATCCAGGAGCCGTCTTTGGATCCTTGTCTCCCTCTCTCTCTGCCCCTCCCTCACTCATTCTCATTCTGTCTCTCTCTCTCAAAAATGAATAAAACATTAAAAAAGGAAGGAAGGAAGGAAGGAAGGAAGGAAGGAAGGAAGGAAGGAAGGAAGAGAGAGAGAAAGAAAGAAAGAAAGAAAGAAAGAGAAAGAGAAGAAAGAAAGAAAAAGAGAAAGAAAGAAAGAAAGAAAGAAAGAAAGAAAGAAAGAAAGAAAGAAAGAAAGAAAGGAAGGTTGGCTGACTGACAGGGCACTTTCTAATGAAGGGACCAGACTGACCCCTTAAAATCATTAAAAGGGGAATCAATCAATGTAATATCATTATAAGTAGGTCACTTGAGGAAATCTTTATGGGTGTTAGATACTGCAGTGATAGATTTCACAGACTTATACACAGGCCAAAACTTATCAGTTGTGCATTATAATTATGTACAGTTTATTTTATACCAATTACACCTCAAAAAGGGTTTTTTTAAAAAAGTGGGCTAGGGGTACCTGGGTGGCTCAGTCGGTTAACAGTCCAAAGCTATGATCTCACAGTTCATGGGATCAAGCCCCATGTGCTTGGTATTCTCTCTCTCCCTCTCCCTCTGTCCCTCCTCTGCTCGTGCTCTCTCTCAAAATAAAGAAAATAAACATTTTTTTAAGAAGTGGGCTAAAACATTATGTGCCCCATGATGCAATAGAAAGAACCCAACTTCACCAATAAACTGATCTTGTCTGAAAAACTGAACCTAATATGATCAAAGCAGTAGAACCAGCTACCAGTTTATGGAAAATATGAGGCACAGCAGAACACATTACATGACACCACATGAACAATCTTTCTTCCTCCTTACTCTCATTTTCTGGTTAACTCTCTTCTCCTAGAAACCCCACGGCATTTGAGAAGCCCTCTTCTCCAAATGCATGTAGGGAAGTGTTTAAGAACACTTGTAATAAAGATGTTTCTAACATTGCTACCTTGAGAATAGTGTTGTATCAATGAATGGAAGTTATACTCATTCTTCAATGCATGTAGAGCCTTTCAGAACACCTATAATAAGTATGCTTCTAAAATCACTTTTAAAAAAAAAAAGAAGAGGGGCACCTGGGTGGCTCAGTCGGTTAAGCGTTCAACTCCTGATCTCAGCTCAGGTCTTGAGTTCAAGCCCCTCATTGGGCTCTACACTGGGGGTGAAGCCTACTTTTAAAAAAGAAGAGGATGAAGAAGGTGGGGAGGGGAGGAGGGGGAGGGAAAAGGGAGGAGGGGGGAGAAAGAGGGGTGGGGGAAGGAAGAGGAAGAAGGAAGCAAAGCCTTCATCTGTGAAGCGGAGACCCCTGATACAAGGAGTGAGCAGCTGTCAGTGTTAACCGAAACCATTCCCCACAGCTGCAGGTGAACTCACTCAGAGACAAGCCAATAAGATCCATGGTAACACAGCAATAGCACCTAACTCCGGAAGCTTTAATGCAAATTTGATACAATTAAGGAAAACCGTCCCAATCCCAGAAAGAAACAAAACAACAACAAAAAAAAAACTAAAATGTATAACTAAAACCAGTATTTCACATTTTATTTTCCACAACTACAATCTGTCCTTTCCAAATAAGAGGAAAGATGAGAGGTCTACTTTCTGTTGTCAGTTTTATATGTCCTTCTTCTGGTCTACCTTCCACCTGCCCCCTTTTTACTCTCACTATACAAATAGGGCTTTCCTCAATCTCATGTAATATTTTGAAAAAATCAAACTTGGTCTTTGTATTGTACCATTAGAAACAAACGAGTGAAGAACCTCCCATCAACCATTCCCCTGCACCATACCTTAATTTACTTGTGCTTGATAATCCACTTATGTGGTTTCCAACATAGAGGAGAGGCAGAGGAAACAGCTTCCATGAAAAAAAAAAAAAAAAAGAATATTTGATTAGAACTCCAATAATGATTTTCCTTCATATATATAGATGGTGACACTCACTCCCCATCAGTAAGCAAATCATTTCCCTGTAACAACTGTGAATTTTCCACAATCTAAAACACACCACAGGGTGCCTGGGTGGCTTAGTCAGTTAAGCGTCTGCGTTCAGCTCAGGTCATGATCTCAGTTTGTGAATTCGAGCCCCACGAGCCCCACATCAGGCTCTCTGCTATCCGAGCAGAGCCCGCTTCATACCCTCTGTCCCCGTCTCTTTCTGCCCCTCCCCTGCTTGCTCACACACACACACACACACTCTCTCTCTCTCAAAAATAAATAAAATAAAAACTGTAAATAAATAAAACACACCACTGGAATGTCACAAGGTTGGTGACCCTTTCAAAAAATTGTGTCTACCACCCACATTACTTTGGAGTTACTTTATTTGTTTTCAAGGTCTAGAATGATTACATATCTACCAAGGTTAAACAACATACCAGTAGTACTTGAATTAGGTTTACTGAGCTCTGACCTCCTGAACTATTTTTTCAAGAGAAATACTGTTCAGAACATACTGAAGAAACATCAAAAGACCTACTCTTCCATAAATGAAAAAAAATATATATCCTTTCATAAGGTCACACACTGAGAACTTTTTGACTGATATACAATCCACAGCTATCAAGGGGAGTCCAACATTTTTTTCCCACTAAAAAGACATTAAGTGTGCAATTCAGATAAGACATCCTTTGAAGGATTTTGAAATACTAAGTGTCATTTACCCCCCAAAAATTAGAAAACGTTATTATCAGGAGATTTGCTCAAGAAAGAAGAAAGAAAGAGAGGGCCTCGCATCCAAGACCTTCCCCTTCATTCACAACATTCTTGTTGACAGCCTACAACTGGCTAAACAATAAAACTTCTGGGATATTACAACTTTAGAGGTTCTTAGGTATTGAAAAGAATCAGTTGCCCTCCTTTCCATGTATAATTCAAAATAAAAACAATACTGACTTCTAGTTCCTGGTAATGGTGAGCTAGATTATCTGTGTTAATCTCCCTGCTGAAAACAATTAAAAATGCTAGGTAAAATAACTTAAAACCTTTATAAAAGCATGAAATATGTGGGAGATAGTGAGTCTCCAAGCCAAAAACTAAAGCAAGAACAGAAACCCAGAAACAATGGAAGGCAGAGGGCAGCAGAACTGCATCATCTTCAAGGGTCTGTCAGATTAGAATGCTACCTCCCAACAAGAATGTCTTTTGAAAGCAAAGGAAAAATATGCAGTCTTTTTCAGACAAAAAAAAAAAAAAAAAAAAAAAAAAACTAAGGGAATTTAAGCAGACTATTAGTAAAGGAAATTCTAAAGGAGGTAATTTAATCACGAGGAAAGTAGAAAGTGTGGGATGCAAAAAGGAGAGAAAAGCAAAGGGAGCAGTAAATACGTGGGTAAATATAAATAAACATTGATGGGTTTTTTTTTAAAGAAAATAAAAATATATTGTGAGATTTACATAAAGTTATTCAAGTACCTGTTGAAAACAGCACATTAAATTGGGAGGAGGGGTAAATGTGTAAAAGTCCTTACACTGTTGAAGGGGAAGATACACTTATTTTTTTTTAAGTTTTTCTTTCTTGTGAGAGAAAGAGAGAGAGAGCATGAGCAAGGGAGGGGCAGAGAGAAAGGGAGACAGAGAATCCCAAGCAGGCTTCGTGCTGTCAGGAAAGAGCCCAAAGTGGGCTCAATTTCACAAACCATGAGATCATGACCTGAGCTGAAATCAAGATTTGGACGCTTACTGACTGAGCCACCCAGGAGCATAAGGGGGAAGATACACTTATTAATTAACTTTACAATTTGATAAGTTAGGTATGCCTGCTGTAGTTTCCAGGTACACTAAAAGAACTGAAACAGAAGTCCACCTCATATATAGTTGATCCTTGGACAATGTGAAGCTTAGGGATGCCAACACCCTACACAGTCAAAAATCCATGTATAGCTTTTGATTTCCCCAAAACCTAACTGCTAATAGCCTACTGTTGACTGGCAGTCTTAGTAATAACATAAACAGGCACTCACATTTTGTATGTTACATGTGTTATATACTACATTCTTACATAAAGTAAGCTAGAGAAAAGAAAATGTTAAGATCATAAGAGAAAACACATTTACAACCCTGTACTCTATTCATCCAAAAAAAAAAAAAGAAAAAGAAATCCACATATGATGAACCTATGCAGTTGAAATCCATGTTGTTTCAGGGTGAGCTGTGATTAAACACTTTACCTGGAAGATTTAACTAAAGTTTTAGGCACCTAATGATATGGCCTCAAAATAAATTAAACAAAACAAAAAACCTGACATCAATACCAAGAGAAATAGACAAATCCATAATCAGAGATGATGGCTACAATAATATTTTCTATTTCACATGCTCTTAAAATGTGCCTTTACCACTTTCTTCCATCCAGAGGTATGATCTAGGTCCCTTCCTCTTAAAACTGCATGGGATTGTTTCAATTAATAATGTACAGATGAAATGCTGCTATATGACCTTTGAGGCTAGGTCATAAAAAGCAAGGCAGTTTTGCCCTGCTTGCTGGAACACTCACCCTTGAAGAATTCAGCACCATGTGACCACTTTGACTCCCCTGAGCCTGCCATTTTGTAAGGAAGCCCAAATGAGCCTATAGGAGTGACCACACAGAGAGGCCTAAGATTATAGGAAGAGAGGTTTGTGACCAGCTCCCAGCTGCACTAACCAGCAACCCCATCGTTGTTTCCACTCTGCTACTGTCTGTCCAAAACTATATAGAAGCCTTAAGCCAGAACTACCCAGTTGACACTGTCCTGAATTCCTGAACCACAGTTACTGTGAGAAATAACACAATGATTATTGTTTTGAGTCACAAGTTATGCAGCAAATGACAACTGGAATAGGCATATAAGCTATCTACAAAAAGCCTACAACAAACAACACACTAAACGGTGAAATGCCAAAAGCTTCCCCTTGGAGATCAGCCAGTATTACCACTTATACCAAGTTGTACTGAGGGTCCTATACGATACAGTAACAGAAGTAAAAGAATAAAAGTTAGAATGTTGGAAAGAATGAAGCAAAACTGTCATTTGTTGTAGATGACCTGATCGTGAATGTAGAAAAATCTAAAGGAAACCACAAATAAATTATGATTAATATTCTATAATTTTTCAAATATAAAAACAATATATAAATGCAATATAAAAACATATCCATCTAATTTTCCAAATTATATATACATATATAAATATAGTCATTTATAATATATAAATGAGTAAACATCAAATATATATGAAAAGTATATTATTAAATATATATAAATAAGTAAAGATTAAATTATTAAATATATATTTATACATAAATATATAAATAAGTAAACATTAAATATATATATACATTTTGAGAGTGAGCAGGGGAGGGTGAGAGAGAGAGAGAGAGAGAGAGAGAAAGAATCCCAAGCAGGCTCCATGCCCAACATGGAGCCCCCACATGGGGCTTGATCTCATGAACCATGAGATTACGACCTGAGCCGAAATCAAGAGCTGGACGCTTAACTGACTGAGCCACCCAGGTGCCCCCCAAATAATATATTTTTTAAAGATATATGCAATAGCAAAAACTCAAAAAAAAATGTTCACAACAACAGTATTCTCTTTACAGAACACTCAAGAATAGTACGAGTTCAGCAAAACATAATTCAGGGACACATATTAGAATAATTACAAAGAAAGTAAGAAAATTATTACGAAAGTCAAAATAGTGGGTAAGGAGGATTCTGTGATCCCATCTCATGATCTAGGTAATGATTACATGCGTTATTATTCATTCAAGTATACGTTCATGTATGATGCCTTTTCCCTACATATAGATCATATTTCACAGTGCTTAAAGTGTTTTAAAACTATAGCATATCATAAACTAAGTGTAAGCAAGGCCAACGATATTCTGATTGTTCCTATGATGATTGGGTTAATAGCCTTTGTTATACTTCAATATTTTGTTTTTCTCTTTTTGTGGATGTCCCTGATGCTTAGTCAGACTGATGATTAATCTAGTGACAGATGCCAGCATCTTTCCAGGGCTTAGAGACATGGTAGTGAACAAGCCAGGAGAGGTTCTCACTCTCAAGGAACTGACAGCCTGATTTAACTTCCCTAAATCCAAAAATGTCATCAAAATACAGTTAATACTACCTGTTGTATAGGACTGCTCTAAGAATTAAATGGTTGACTTAAAGCAACTGTTTATTGAGCCAGCAACTGTTTAAAAAAGGTAGTTCTGTTCCTCATTCCCAGTAAGGTAAGGCAGGTTTTATGTTTCTAGTTCCACCACAGACAAACCCATGTATTTCTATGTGCATCAAACTATATTCTTCATTCTACTCACAGCTTTTATCAATCCAGGCAAAAAATGAAAACTTAAAATAGGATCAGAAAAGTAGGGCCTATGAGCCAAATCTGGCCCATCTTTTGTCTATGTAAATAAAGTTTCATTAGAAAACGATGACAGCAATTTATTTATCTATCATGGTACAGTGGCAGAGCTGAATAATTGCAACAGAGATGGTCTGGCCCACAAAGCCTAAATATTTACTATCTGCGTTTTTACCAAAAAAGCCTACCAAATCCTAATGCTATAGGGCTTTGCCATTTCAGAAGACACATAGTATTATTTAGTGTCAGTTGCTAAGCACACACTTTGACTATTATTACATTATGTTAATGAACAACTGAATGAATGATATAAAATCTCTGTTAAGAAGTTTCTACCCAGTGTAAGCAGGAAGCACAGTGTGTATGGAAACCAACATGCATTCCAAAATCAATTTGTAATTCTATAGTATTTTCATATCTTTCACCATAGTTATTTGTACTCGTCATCACATACCTTCACGGGAATTTTCTTGTCAAAATCAGGGAAGTGAATTATTTTATTTAGTTTGGACACATACAGTATCATTATGGTAGCTGCCATCTAAAAAAAGGGAAGGAGAAACTTCAGCAAAATATCTGGAAAGACTGAGGTACAAAGACACCTTCAGAAGAAAATACATTCATCAAAAAGAATACATTATCCAAAAAAAATCCATTTTCTAGGTTCCAAAAAATAACTATTTCTTGGAATATCAAAATTGTTTTTCTTGCCAATGTATGAATTCTATCAGAACTATAGGCAAAAACTGTTAAGATCAAATAGACTCACACACATATATGCATATTATCTCAAGGGGTTCAGAGAAAGAAATGGTGTCCCCCAAAACTGGCCAGAGTAACCACAGTTGGTGAGGCCAGTCCTTGATCCTGGACCATACTTCCCATGTACTGAACATATGGACACCTTTCCACATAAAGTGAGTCTAGGGGTACTGCAAGGGGCAAACTCCACACTAACACACTTTTTGTAAAGTCTCATATTCCTATAACACAGAAGACAAATTAAGAGAAAAACAATTTTAAAAGGAATCTACTTTTCTCTTCAATCTTAGCCGGTACTGCAAAAATGTCTCATTCAAATCCTACTCATCTAGAGTACAAGTATATTAGAAATACTCCAGATTATTATGAAATAAAAAATTTTAATATCATCTTCCTATGCAAATTTTAGAACTTACTCAATTGTTTCCATATTATTATGAAAAAATTTAAGACATCCTTCAACATGATTATCCCTAAACCCTGAGCCTAATGACTTTACAAATGTAATACTTATGATAGATCGTAACATAAGGCCATCCTGAATTATAATTATAGTTTGTATTTATAACTGACCTTATAATTCTTACAGAAATATACTAACATTTATTTAAAATATTCTGTAACTCAGACTTTTAAACGAGGTCTGCTGCCCTCTTCCCCCACAAATTGTGTATCAGAAAGGCTTTATTTTGAGCACAAGCCAGTGAATTTTTATTTGCCTTGGGGATTACTAAGGGCACATTATCACATATTCACTGATCTTTTAGAGTACTTTTTTCTACATTTTTCACACTGAAACATTAAGATGATGTATTTTTGGCATTAAGGAAATATATTATTATATTTTTTATTCCTAAAATGATATTGCAAAGAGTACCTTATCAGCAAAACATTTAACCAGAATAATGTTTAATCATATATATGACATCCTTCTCAAGATTCACAATTAAAAATTTAATTAACAGACACAATTTTCACAATTTTATGTTTTTCTCCCTATAAATTAAAGCAAAACCAACCAAACAAACAAAAAAAAAAAGGTGCCTTTGGTGCCTGTTACCACTTGCCTACTGGAAATCACCAGCATATGATCCAGATAGTAAACAAGCCACAAATAAATATTAATGGGAAATTTCAGAAGCAGCTAAATGGGGTTAGTCTGAAAGCTTATCCAATCTTGTCTTTATACTTGAGAACAAAAATCACAAACGGCAGGAAACAAAACGCAAACATGTTTAGTTAGGCCCACAGAGAGTTTTGTAAAAATCTGAATGTTTTGCTAGCATTTACAAATTTGATGTAAAAATTCAAAATCCCTGCTACTCTTGGAAAACGTCCAGAGGTGTTAAAATAAGGGCATAGTGAACCCAATCTCATCTCCTGAGTCCTTTCCTCTCAGCACAGTGGCTTAAACTGAGTCCCAAATGCACACTTCAACTTTGGCAACTATATCCTTGTCCCACTGCAGCCTCCAATTTATTCATTTGTTCCCCACCAGGCCTTGAGGCTTTCAGTCTTCTGGCCCTTGCTTTAAAGGGTAATTAAATTCAATTAAGAAAGCTGAAACAAGTAATTGCTTTTTCCTACAAATACAACTGTTCCTAAATTATAGAAAGACTTAAAATGTGTGTCAATATTTTATGCTCTTTCACCAAAAGTACCATGATCCTCTGGCCCTCTGTCAGCTGAATAAATTTGTAAACCGCAGTCTTAAACAAAAGCACTTAAAATTTCATTGTGTATAATGACAACTAATTAAGTGGTTAATTTTTCATTTTCACTTACCTGTCCAATTCCAAGAAAAATTGGTGATGGGAAACTATAAAAAACACAGAATAACAATTTTAGCAACTGATAAAAATTTGCAGTCTATAATATGTAATGGCAGGAGTTATTTAAAAATCTTAGACTTTTTTTTCATTCTTAGACCATTAAAACTTAACATAAAATTCATTGACTTTTCATTTGTTCATTTCTTTTCATTTTTAAACTGATTGTTGCTAAACTTGGCAATTTTCTATTGCCCCTTGTCTGTCATCATATTAACAGATAACATGACTATGTATATAGAAAGCCGAAATAATCTGGGGATAAATTATTAGAATAATTTTTAGCAAGGTCACTGGCTACAAGATGAATATATGAAAAAAACATCATTTATATATCTACATGCCAGAAGAAACAAAGTGAAAATTTTAAAGAGATCATTTATAATAGCACTAAAAGCACATCAAATAATACTAACTGTATATTTTATGATATTAGGAATTATCTTTAGTTTTTTAGGTATGAAAGGTATTGGGGTGGTGTTTTTTTTTAAACGAAAGAGCCCTTCTTATCATTTAGAAATACATCTTGAAATGCATATGATGATATGTTTTTAATTTGCCTCAAAATAACTCGGCGGGCGGGAGGGCGCCTGGGTGGCTCAGTCGACTGAGTGTCCAACTTCGGCTCACGTCATGATTTCATGGCCTGTGAGTTCAAGCCCCACGTCAGGCTCTGTGCTGACAGCTCAGAGCCTGGAGCCTGCTTCAGATTCTGTGTCTCCCTCTCTCTCTGACCCTCCCCCGCTCATGCTCTGTCTCTCTCTCTCTGTCAAAAATAAATAAACATTAAAAAAAAATTTTTTTTTAAACTCTGGGGGGAAATGGTAGGATTGAGTGCAAGGGGGGATACAAATGTAATGAGTTGTTGACACTGGGTGACGGCTACTGGGTGATTCATTAGACAGATATATCTCATTTTATCACTCTTCACTTTATTATGCTTTGCAGATGCCACATTTCTTACAAAGTGAGGGTTTGTGGTAACCCTGCCTTGAGCAAGTTTATCGGCACCATTTTTCCAGCAGCATTTGCTCACTTTGTGTCTCTGTGTCACATATTGATAATGCTCGTGATATTTCACACTTTTTCATTATTATTATACTTGTGATGGTGATCTGTGACTGGTGATTATGACTCCCTGAAAACTCAGATGATGGTTAGCATTTTTTTAGCAATAAAGTATTTTTTTAATTAAGGTATGTACATTGTTTTTCAGACATAATGCTATTGCACACTTAACAGACTACAGTATAGTATAAACATAACTTTTATATGCCCTGGAAAACCACAAAATTCAATTGACTCACTTTACTGCAATACTTACTGTATTGTGGTGGTCTGGAACCAAACCCACAACATCTCTGAAGTATGCCTATGCTATTTTTTTTTTTTAAATAATATATCCAGGAACAAACCTAACAAAATATTAATTAAAGATTACAATAAATGCATTCCATTACAACTGGTGAGAGAAAAAATTCTCTAAAGGCCTGGGATATAAGAGAAGCCATTTTGGATTTCTTTCTAAGTCAGCATAACTACATGTACACTTTGTTGAAACCAAAAGCCTGATTCATGGCCCACCAAGCATACAATGTACCCCTGCTTGGTGAATGAGTAGCCTAAAAGAAGACCATGTTGTCCTTAAGATAGCAATCAATGCTCCTACTTCCTGTTCCTTGACATTAAAACTTGTGATTCTCGCCTATATGCTAATATATAATCTTCTGAGCTTTAATGAGATGTGAAAACTGTAAAAACCCTGTAAAACCTTTTCATTCTCTGGAGCTCTTTCTTCTTTGTAAAGAATATGTTTCCTGGGCAGCTGTCCTAACTTGGGCTCGAATAAAGCTCTTACTTTTAGAGACTCCAAAAGGTTTGTTCATTTTGCATCCACACAATGGAAGAGAACAGAGATGAGGACAGATACACACATACATACATGACACAGATGACAGTGCACAGCAGTGAGGGAAAGATGGTCTTTCAACAAACGGCATTGGGTAAGTTAGATGATACACTTCGCACCACATTTAACAAGGCAGCACATCACCTCACCCTGCTCACTTACCCAAACCTGCACTGGCTCCCAGTCATTCTCTCAGAGACTCTCCCACACACACACCCCTAGCTCAGCCCTCAATCTGCATGTCAGAGGAAAACACACCTATTTCAGATAGGGCAAGAAGAGAGTAAAGAGCTGACTCGCCTTATCAAAGAAAACAGAATGAATGTCTGGACAGTAACACCATGAGAATGAAATCCATTCTAGTGGATGGATACCAGTTGTGCCACCCAGTTGTTGCTTAAGAAACCTGAACACGTTTTCAGGGCTAGAGCTGCTGAGGCAGAATGAGGAGGGGGTAGGAGTGGAGCATTGCACCCACAGAGAGGAGAGGGGGACCTTAGGTGGATAAAAGGCTCCCTACATATTAGCATAAGGGCACCGTGGGGGCCTCAAATGACACCTTCCACTTTCTCAATAAAGTATCAGAGAAGGGGAGTGGAGGGGGGGGGGTAGGTGGGATTCCAGGACGCAGGAGAAAGCAGAAAGGAGTCAAAGCAAAACCCCAGAAGAAACAAGTGGGCAGGAAGGAGAGCCAGCTGAGCTTTGCGATCACCACTTTAAAGCTCAGAAGTGGTTTCCCTCCCACAACAGTCTGACTTGCTCAGTGAAGGAAGGAGGCATGCGGCAGGCTGTGCCAGACCAGGGCCAGGCCCAGTGGGCCCCAGAAAGGACTCTAAGGTTGGATGTGGACACCAGCAGGAGACAGCACTGGGCGTGAAAAGCTGGTGGGTCACAGCCAAGCATGCACCCCCCGGGGACTGTCTGCAGGAAGCAAGGCCACATCGACTGCCAGGGTTCCCCACAAGGAGTCCCTGAGTCCCCAAGGTTGACACCAGTCCAGATGGAGATCAGGCCTCTTCCTTGTGTGAGTGACAGGAGCTCAGAAGCCACCACAAAGGACCATAAGGAGTGGTAAGTCTGGAGCACACAGAGTCTGGGCAGTGGGGAGCCACGAGGACCCAACCCCACCTCCTGGCCACACCTGGGGTGAAACCAACATCCAGCTGCGTCCAGCGGCCAAGGAAGCGGTGTCTTCAGGAGAGAGCAGGTTTTCACCAAAGAAAGAGAAAATTACAAGTTGTTTTTGTTTTTAGTATGGATTTCCAGTTCCCACTGCCCGAGACTCGATACAATATATTTTATAAAAACCTCTCCAAGTAATTCACAGTCCCAGGCAGGTTTGAAAACCACTGTGCTAAATGATCCCAATGTCCTAGGATACATAAAGAACTAGACATACAGGAAATACTCATTGAACTGAATACAACTAAGGTCTATATTTTTATTAAGCACCATTAGTAAATTCTTGCATGTCCTAGAGAACAGTGTATTTCAGTGGCAACAAAAAAGCAACTCCAGACCACCCCACCACCCTCATGAATCTGATTCCAAAGACCCAATAGTGTAACCAACTAGCCACAGATTCTTAGGTGACCTTGCTTTTGCCTCCCACCCTAACAGATTCTGAGAGTTCATATCCTTCAAAGATTTCTCTGTCCAACTAGATAAATCTAGCATTACAATGAACCAGATAAGTCTAGCGTAAGAAATAAGGAACACCACTCATCAGACCTGAACCCCAACCAGAAACAATCCGTTCAAAATGCAGGAGAAAAAAAATACCATGACCCTGTGGATTAGGTAATTATCAAAATGCCCTTCTTTCTACTCTACAACACAATATTCTATCTTCAAACATCTAATGTTTGGATCAGATTTTTGTGGTTTATTGTTATAACCAAATCAACCCAACCCTCCTCCCCTCAAAAATGTGTTCTTAAAGCATTTTGAGATGAGAGAATGAATAATGTTATTTGAACAGGGTTCTCCAACTGTATATTACATTACGGAAATGTGAAATGTTTACTTCTAAGGATTGAAAGAGTTTTGTCTTGCAGAGAAAAAAAAACTCCATTTCCTCCTTTAATCATGGAAAGGCTAGAGTGTAAGATATCTCATATAATAATAATCCTTCCTGGTTGGAGACTTCCCCTTCATCTTCAAAGCACTTAATCACTGTTTACTGGTCCCTGCTTCCAACAAGAAGACACCTGTTTTTGGAGCCAGTGACTGCTATGGCCAGAGAGCACACGGCTCATTCAAGTGCAGAAAATAGAGACTGACCTTCAAACTTCATCCAACATAACTGCCAACCACTCCCAAACAAGCCTATTAGTAGCATTCTCTTATTATTTTTGGTCAAAAAATGTTTAGTTTTCTTTTTTGTTCATTAGCAGTGTTGGTGTTTCCCATGGACACCAGCAAGCATGCTTGCAACACACTGGGAAAGACTTGTAAAGAACATCAACAGCTGTAAGATCACCAAAAAATATCCCAGATCTCTCTCTTCCCTCCATATCTGTCTGCTGCTGCCCCTCCCTACAGTCCAAGACATCTTTTAGAATTATCTAGAATACTAGATAATTCCCTATGCTTCCACCCTGGTCCTCAAGATCATGTTACTCCTCTGCTCAACACTGGCTGGTGGCTCCCATCTCCTGAGAGCCTCCATGGCAGCCTCATAGGCCCTCCCGGGGTCTATGGTAACAATCCATTACCCTCACCTAGTACCATTTCTACCCAAACACCCTTCTCTTTCACGCTTGGAATGTTCTTTCCTCATTTCCTTCGTGTCACTCATCTCTTGGCTCAACTGTCACCTCCTCAGTGAAGCTTCACTGATCACACTGAGATGGCAAACTCCTTCCCATGCCCACACTCCCTAACTCCCTTCCCTGCCTTATTTTTTTCTCCTGACCACACAACTGCATCTGACATAATATAAATTCTATCAGTTTATTTGCTGATTCAGTAGAAAGCTCCATGTAAGCTTTAGAAGGATAGATATTTGCTCCATGACATTTAGGGTTCTGATCTGCTTTATTCACTCCTATATCTCAAGTGCCTAGAATAGTGCCTGACACATAACAGATGCTTAAGAAATATTATTGAGTGAATGAAGGGTCTGATCCTGCCTTTCCTGCCTCCCTCCCCCCCATCATCTCTCCTACCTTCTTCCATTTGCTCATTCAGTTCCTCCAACAGACCAAACTCATGCCCACTTCATCAGACTGCCTGTCTGGAATGCTCTAGCACCAACCGCTCCATCCCAGGCACTCTCATAACATACCTGAAATCACCCTGCTTATTCTTGAACCCACTTCCTTTATGTCTCTACCAATGGTATGGAATCTCCAGAGCAGTGGCTCTGTGTTGATCACACCTGCTTCTCTGGTGCCTGCAATGGGCTTGGCACACAGTAGGTGCTCAGTAAATATCTGTGGGAGGTGTAACCGGCCAAGCTCCTGTGGGTCGCAGCTTTCTCAGGTATAACATAAGAAACCTGAAGATACTCTCTGAGGTCTCTTTAGGCTCTTTATAAAATTCTGATTTTACACTCTTATTGCACAGACAGTATAGTTTACAAAGAGCAGCTTTACTTAAACGGCAGCTCCTGCGAAGCTTTGGAAGGTAATTAACAGGTAATTAACAGGATTATAATTATCCGGCTTTTGCATTTGGGAAAATGCTGACTTTGGGTCTGGCCCAACAGGCACAGCTATTAGATGGTGGAACTGGATCTAAATCCACAGTGCTCTCAGTGCTGATATAAGGATAGCAGAATTAAACAGGATTTTCTAGTCCTTACAAATAGGCTCAAGGAACCAGGAATCTGGTTTACTGCACACTAATCCAAGAAAGTGCGTCATGAGTGAGAACTTTTTTTCCTCGTCATGTGAACTCCTAATGGTTTTCCCCAGTCTTCCATGAATACACTGGTAATTTGACAATGAATGATCAAACGATAAACATAAACTTATCCGCTTAGGACTCATCTGATTGTTGAACATCTCCACTTGTGTAAACTGTTCGCCTTTAAAGTTCACATTCAGATCACTTGTTTCAGCGCACCGGGGCACTTGAACGCTTTGGGGTGTAGCTCTACAAGCGCGGTACGCAGTGTCTCTGTCTCGCAGTAGTAGTAAGCGGTGGAGAGGCGTATCCGCGATTACTGAGAGTAAAACGACTGTTAGCTTGTGGCTTGGGTTGTGGAAGGTCCCGGCTCGGCAAAAACGCGGTCAGTGTGTCGAGCCCACAGCCACCCACGTTGGCACCGGAGTCGACAGTGAGACCCCACGCGCTCCGTTCCTGCCAGCCCGCGGACCCCGGCGCGGCCAACGTGCTGGGAGCTCAAGGGCAGCCCCGCCGCGCCCCGAACCC